CCAATGGGCTGTGATGGAGGGGGGGCGGGGGGGGTGAGAGAGAGAGAGAGAGAGAGAGAGAGAGAGAGAGAGAGAGAGAAGGGGGAGTGACTCTGTCTTCTGTCACAAATGCAGTAAGACTAAAACTGAAAAAAATACACAGTTCTCTTTCTGATTTTTTTTTTCCTTCTCTAAGCTTTTTCACCTCATGTTTGTTTTATTTGTCAGCTTTATTTGAATTAATGAAAATGATTTGTGATAGTTTTAGTTCACAATAACAACACAGTTTAAGACATTAGATTGTGCATATTATATTACAGATTATTAAATATGACAGATATTTTGATTTTGTTTAGCTGATCATAATTGCAAAGTTTGAATTCATTTTTATATATATAATACAATTTCACAGTTTAAAAATGCTAAACAATAGAACATTGTTTTAGCTATATAATATATCTATAGGCACTTAAAGTTGAAATAGTTGAAATGTGTTAGTTTTATTAAAAATCAACCCCTGGGGTATGAAGTTGAAAAAGCAACCAGATACACAGGAAAATGTCACCCACTGTAATATCCTTCTATTTCGATGTTGACATATAGAAGTAAGGTTAAAGCTATAGATTAATTCTCATACCTGTCATATAATTTATTTCCACTGCCATTCGATTGAAAAAAAAATAAATCACATCATCCAATTTTCTCTTATACTTCCCAGACAACCACTTTGATCAACATTGCATTCACTATAGTACATGTTTTACAACTTTAATATGATTACCAATGACTGAAAACAGCCCTCCTGAAAATCTCCCAGCATGAGAACAATGTTTCTTACAAAACCACCCAGTAAATGCCCAAAGAGGAAAGCTGAATGCCAGACATGCAATTCCTTCTATAAGTATCACTCCTAACAGTTAATCATCATGAGCTTTGCTATTTGCACCACAATGAGAAGGCAATCATTTGTACAACTTAGAACGAGAGTCATTCAGTTTTGAGTAGTTCGTTGGAATACAGGAAACTTCTTACAGCCTGATGTGGTTAAACGGTCAGGAAGAATCGTGAGAAATAAGAGTTTTTTTATTTTATTGACACTAAAAATGATAGTCTCTAGAAGGAGGTTTAGGATGTGGGATAGTGCACATAATGCGCAAATGCAATTTGAAATGGACTGATTATGTACTCTGAATATCACTAAAATGAAAAGTGATGCTTCAATCAATTCATGGAAGTTAAGTTTCCATAATCAACAATCATAAAGACATTCACATTAATTCACGGTAAATGCCTTATCTCCCTCACAGGACAGCTGACTTGGGTGTGTTTTTTAATTTGGGCATTCAAACTGACACAGAGTGAATGCGTTTGGGGCTGGCATGAGGTTAAACACAATCAATTACCATCTTGTTAATGCCCTGAGAAGGGTGAACTAAAAATGGCCAAAAAGAGGGCGAACAGAGTAAATTTGAAAGGTTAATTGCAGTTGTGCCTGTCTAAGTAAATGTCTTGGCATAGCTATTCTGAATTTGGCCGTGGGCAAAGCCTTTAGTGTACGACAATCAACACTAATAATTTTATTCCTCGTGTCATGAGGATTTTGACCTCCTCAGTCGCCCCGACCTTTGTTCGACCCCAGCGACCACTCTCACAGTGTGAACAGTGGTGTCATGCGTGAGCTGTTGCTTTTGCTTGACGATGGGACGAATAATAGGATAAAAAAGAGCAAAGGGAGAAGTTATAGATTCACTGGATGTAATATTGGCTCGGGTTAAAACTCATTTAATGGCACTGACTCAGAATCAGATTTCCATACTCAGACGTTGAACTTTTTTGAAAGTTCAAATCCCTTTCCAGGTCAGACCTAGGGCTTTATAAAAGGCTTTTATTTTTTTTAATGAAACAGGATATTAAGCAAGAAAAAAATGCATTTTATTCATTTGAAATTGATTGGTTTACAAAAAGTAATAATGTATCACCCTTGATACTTCTGTGTCAAGTATATTTTTCCAGCTACTACAATGGCCTTAAGTATGGAAGCTTATTTCCACTATACAAATAATGGATCATTTAAAGGGGTCATATGACGTTGCTAAAAAATTAACATTATTTTGTGTATTTGGTGTAATGAAATGTGTTTATGTGGTTTAGGCACATTACATTAAAAAACACATTATTTTCCACGTACTGTACATTATTGATTCTCCTCTATGCCCTGCCTTTCTGAAACGCGTGGATTTTTATAACGCTCATCAGTGCGTTGTGATTGGCCGAATACCTCAAGCGTGTGATGGAAATGTTACGCCCCTTACCATACTGTGATGCCGTGTCCCGGTGTGACGAGACAAAACCAATAAAACCCATTACAAACGAGGCATTTGTAGCATCCAGTGGGGACATAATTACTGATTATAATTACTTATACTGTCTTTTTACACGTTGCGTTGCATCGCGCCGCGTAAACATAAAACCATGTCTACATTTGTGATCGGAGAAATGACAAACAAGTGCTACTCTACACTGCTCAAAACTCGCGTTTGGATTGTCAGTGACAAATTCTTTAAATATGAAAACGTACTTACAGGCTGTGAGCCAGCATTATTTGCAGAAAACCGGCATTGTAGGCTACTCTCCCAGGAAACAGTCCTCGTCCTCCTTAATATGCATTGCACACACACACACACACACACACTAATATATGGATTAAACTGTTCTGGAACAGTGTTGTAAATACAACTTTACCACTGATTATTAGTCGTGTCATCTTTTGGAAGGCCAAACAAAGTAGTTTCGCTTTCACAATGAAACACACAGCGTCTCCACGACATGGCGGTGGCGGCAACAACAATACTACAGCGAGAATCAAAGTTACGTCTTCTTTCTTTGCGTGGACATTTGGGAGGTGCTATGCAAATCTTCCCACACAGTGACGTAGACATGTGGGGGCGTGTTTAAAAGAGGCGTTTTAGGAGGGCGTGGATGAGTCTTAACTTTTATAAAGAATATATTTTTGGGTATGATACTTTAGTCTTTGCAACTTTAGGGAGCTTATCTATTCACAAACAGCTTGTAACACCCCAAAGAGAAAGGAAAACTTGAAATCACATCGTATGACCACTTTAATTAAATAAAATAACTTCAAGTTTATGTCTCACAATTTCAAGTTTTAAACTCATAATTGAGTGTTTATATCTTGTTTTTTTCTTTTCTTGGATTTTATAAAGGGTCAATAAATGTCAAGAAGATTCAGAAACTCACAAGGTTTGAATGTATCTAACAGAATATGTGTTTACTGTATGCGTGTTTCAGTGTATGTGTCAATGTGTCGTTGAAGGTGAAGTGTGTAACTTATGCACCACTAGTGAAGCCAAACAGAAAATAAAATGGAACAATTATGTAAATCCTCCCCCCTAAGCTAAAACAGAGCACTATAGGGAACTGGTAGAAAAACAGCCATTTTAAACAAATTTCCATATGAAACAAACAATGACACATGGATCTTTGCACAAATGTCACCTTCACACAAATCTCAAAAATTAGTTTCGTCTCCTCAGAAGCTTTTTAGATTATTTCTTCAGTCCTTCTGAGGTTTTGTCATGCAGCCCAGCATCAGCTGCATAAATTTGGATCTTTCTCTGTTCGACCATCCCATCAGTAGTAAAGAGAACATACTTCTTTTCCACTCTCACCTGAACCGTCCTCTGACCCCTCAGGCTTTTAGCGTTCAATATGTCTCATAGTTTATTCATACCTACTCACACAAGAGATAAATAACATGGCGAGAATTTTGAAGGTGCTGCTCAGTCAGATGCTCCAATTCCTTCTGAAAGACACAAAGAAAACAGACATACAAGAACTTTACTTACCATAAGCCTTAGAAGGAATTGAATATTCATGTTCTTCACTCTGTGCAGGTTGAAGATGTTTTTTGGTCTTTCCCCAAATAAACACCCTTAAGGTCAACAAACAAGACAAATTCTACCATGAACATGTTTGTTATATCACAAATCCAATAAGGTTCATGACGTCATAAAAGTGAAGCTGCTGCGCCACCATATTGGTATTCCCATACATTCTATAGGAAATCGTACGATTTTAATGAGAAAACATCACCCAACAAGTCAGCGTATATATCGTAAGTATCCCTGTACATTCTTACAATACAAACCTCCTGAGCATTGTAAATTGTTATTTGTTTCATGTCAGGAATTTCCCCTGCTTATTAAAAATGTTACGTGTCCTATACATTACCGTAGCGAATATAAGATGAACATGATGAACATCAGACGGATAAATCCACAACAAATGCAAATGACAAAGTGCTCATGAAATCTGAATAAAGATTTATGCTTTGTATGTATGCGTTAATTCACCTTGTACGTTCACGGTTTATGTAATTATGTTGTTTTTTATTCGTATAGTACGGTAGCTGCAAATGTTTTTCTAACAGTGATTTCGTTAACAGCGTTCATTTTATTTGGCAGTCAACGATTTAAACGTCGGTTAAATTAATAATTAATTACACGCATTAGGCTACTCTTGGAAACTGTAATGCTAAAATGCCATAGAATTTGTGCAATCTTGAGGAGTCTGAAATAGATATTGCTCCCTCAGGACATAAAATAATACACACATCATAATAACGTATTCAGAGAAATAAAACTGACTGCATATGCTACGGACTTAAAGACATGAAGCTTTATTTCCAAGATGATAAGTGGTAAGCTCTGAATTTCAACAGCAATATAGTAACAGACTTGTATTGTATATCCGAATCAATTTAAGATACTAACATATATATATATATATATATATATATATATATATATATATATATATATATATATATATAAATATATAATAAAACATAATA